GAACCCTGCAGAGGGCCGCCCTCGACCCATTCCCATCCTCCCCGCCCCTGCTCTCCCCATTCCCTCCCCCCTTCCACCAACTCCTCTTCCTCCTGCTCTGTCTCCTCTTCCTTTGCCCCCCCTGCCTGCTGCTTCTGCTGCCTCTTCCGCCATAAGCTCCTTCTCGGCCACGAGACTCGCCTTTTCCGCCACTTGCTCCCTCCTGGTAGAACGAATGGGTACAGACAGAGAAGAAGGGGTGGTTTTGAGTCGACTCAGAAGCTGCCTCTGCCGCCTCTTCCGCCATGAGCTCTTTCTCGGCCTCGAGACTCGCCCTCTGGACCACTAGCTCCATCCTGGTAAGGGAACAGGTTCAGAGGGAGAAGGGTGGGCGGCGGGTGGGGGATGGAGAGGGACGGAGAGCGATCGAGGAGAATCGCAGGCGGGAGAGTGTGGGTGAACAGGGAGAAGGGGGAGGGAAGGGGAAGGGGGAAGATGAAGAGAAGGAGGGGAATGAAACAAAAACAAAAACAGTTTTTCCAGTATTTGAATCCCTCACCTTTTCTCAAAGTCGCGAGCTGCCACTGCTTCAGCCCTGGCAGAGCGCATCGTACCACTGGGCACAGCAGCACCAGCCGCATCCGCATCAGCTTTCCTTGCGGTGTTCTTTTCCCAGTACATTGCAGGATAGACCCGGGCAATGGCCACACACGTGAGGGGGATCGGCCCCCCGTCCTCCCTCACCCTGCGCAGTGCAATCGGGACTGGTGGCTTCTGCCGGCCTGTAGCGGGGCGGGCAGAGGGAGCAGAGCAGAGGGATGTGGGACAGGTCATGGTTGTTAGCATTCCTTCTTCATGTGATGGTTGTTTGCTGGCAATAGCTGGGGCGTGGGGGGCGTGAGCGAGGAAGGTCAAAACCACCCTGCGTCTGATTACTCTCTAAAACATTCTGTGTTGGCGTGGGGCACGTACAGAAGCCCAGCTTGGAGGACCAGTAAGCCAGAAAGGTGCCGTTGGGAATAAAAAGAATGCTCTGTGCTTTTGAGACTTATTAGCAACACTCTGTATGTGGTGGGGGTTCGAGCTACGTACAGAAGCCAAGCTTGGTGGACCAGTGAGCCGGGAAGGTGCCGTTGAAGTGCAGGGCGAGTGTTGCCGCTGTGCATGCCTGGGTGAGGGGAGGTGAAGGAGAGGGGGGGTGGAGAGGGGTGGGTAGGGATTGGTAGGGGACGTATTGGCAAAAGGGGGATGTGGGGAAGGTGCCATTGACGTGAAGAGCGAGTGTTGCTGCTGTGCATGCTTGCAGTGAGGGGAGGCGGAAGGAGAGAGGGGGCAGAGAGTAAAGTGGGGAGTGGATGGGTAGAGGGAAGTAACAATGAAGGTCTACAACAATGAGTGGAGGACGATAGTAAGAAACGTGAACACAAGGAACGACAAATACGGGGAAAACAAGTGAAAGCAAAAGAAACAAGCAGAGTAAATTAAGATCTATGAGTGGGGAGAGAAGGAATGAAGAGGCCAGGGCAGAGGCGGGAATACCTCGAGAGGAGGAAGACCTTCCATGCAGCCATTCAGCACAGCGCCACACACCTGGCATGGGCGAGGTGAGGTGAGGTGAGGGAAATCACAGAGGATCAGGGAGCGACTTTTGAGTCGACTCAAAAGTCACCTCGAGAGGAGGAAGACCTTCCATGCAGCCATTCAGCACAGCGCCACACACCTGGCATGGGCGAGGTGAGGTGAGGGAAATCACAGAGGATCAGGGAGCGACTTTTGAGTCGACTCAAAAGTCACCTCGAGAGGAGGAAGACCTTCCATGCAGCCGTTCAGCACAGCGCGACACACCTGGCACAGATGGGGTGAGGTGGTGTAGGAAGAGAGAAGGGAGAACGTGGAGAAAGGCTCAGTTGCAGGTCAGCATGAATATCGGATCAGGGTTCGAAAACAGGATCAAATTCAAGTTCGACGTAAGGTTCATATTGGGGTTCATATTGGGGTTCAGTGGGGTCCGGGGGAACACATAAACCTGCCCTGCCATGTTATCCCCTCCATCCATGACTGTCACTTGTAAAAGCGAGACACAACCTCTGCTGTACTGCACCTCAACAGTGGCCATAAACGCGAGCGGGGGTGGCCCTAAAAGAAACAGTCAGATTGCTTTTGGTACAATTTTACCACTCTTCGCAAAGAATGAGCACACTCACCCGTATCTTCTGGCCAACAAAGAGCCGTCCACAATTCAGAAGGTCTGTGAGGGGAGCATCGAGGCGAGCAAGCAGCCAGTACCTGAAATGAGGGGAGGAGGGGGAGGGGGGTTTGTGTGTGAGAGGAGGGAAGAGGGGGGGTGGGGAGGCATGACTTTGGGTGTGGCTGTGAGGGGAGCATCGAGGCGAGCAGACAGCCAGTACCTGGACGAACAGGGAAGTGTGGGTAGCGCGAGACAAGTTTATGAGACGGGGCGCCAATCACCAACGTCTGAGCAAGTGTCACTTTTGAGCATTCACGAATGTAACACAAGCAGTGCCTTGTAACAGAACATCACTGCCGTGGAATGATTGTCCCTCCTCACCATCCATCAGTCACTTCAATCACTGCTGTCTGTGCCCCTTCACCCACCGCCCCTCCCCGCCGACCCACCTCCTGCCTCTTCTCCCCCTCCTCCCCATCCTCCTCCTCCTCTCCACAACTCTTATCCTCCTCAACCCCTCTTCCACTTGCCCCTCCCTGAGACCGCACAGCAGAGATGCAGAGCACCATGGGGGTGCCAGCAGCAGCGTCCCGCTCGCACACCTTCTTCAGAGCCGACCGTTTCGCTTCATTCACCTCCCGCTCATACCTGCACAGGCCGGAGGTGGGGTGGCAGAAGAGGGAACTTAAGGGAATGGAAGGGCACGGCAGGCTGAGCCAGGTCATCCAACAACATGGGGCTGCCACCAGCAGCAGCAGGAGCCCTCACTCGCACACCTTCTTCAGAGCCGACCGTTTCGCTTCGTTCACCTCCCTCTCATATCTGCACGAGCAGGAGGCAGGGCGCACAATGGAAGAGGGCACCAAATAGCAAGGTTTCAAAATACAAAGGTTACGGCAGAACCAGCCGGGTCATTCAACATGGGGCTCAGCTATGTGGCCTTTGTACTGATCACAGGGCTGTGAGCAGAGTTAATCTGAGACGACTTTCGAGACACCTCAAAAGTCAAAACTCAGAAGTCAAGACTCAAAGGTCGAATGAGCTGCTCTACATCCTTTTTCGTAACACCCACCTGTATTTGAGCTGCTCCAGGACCCTCTCCATCGTCAGCATCCTGCCTGCCTGGAGACAACGGGGAAAGCTGGTACTTTTGCCACGCCATCTCACCGGTACTTCATGTGCATGTGACCTGCCCTCTATCACTCTTTTTGACACCCACCTGTACTTGAGCTGCTCCAGCTCCCTCTCCACCGTGAGCATCCAGCCTGCCAGGCGACGACGAGGGAAGCTGGCAGGACATTTTCTCACCAGAACTTCATGTGCATATGAGCCGCTTTTTATCCTTTTCTTAACACCCACCTGTACTTGAGCTGCTCCAGCACCCTCTCCACCGTGAGCATCCTGCCTGCCAGGCGACGAGGGAAGCTGCGCTCCTGACAGGCCAGCTTCCACACCACCCAGCGGTAGTGGTTCGTCACCCACCTGTGATGTGAGGGGCGGTTGGGGGGCACAGGAGCGGGTGGCAGGGTAAGGCTTTAATCGAAATGAAGTTGGACTTACAAGCTGCGCTCCTGGCATGCCAGCTTCCACACCACCCAGCGGTAGTGGATCGTCACCCACCTGTGAGGGGCGGCCAAGGGGGAAAAAGGGTGGGGGGGGGGGGGTTGGGTTTGGGGGAAGTTGTGGGGCAGGAATGGAGGTTTGAAGTGGACTCATAAGCTTATGCCCAGGCCAGGTTTCACACCGCCTGTAGGGGTACTTCCCCGCGTGCCTGCACTGCAATGGGCCGACATGAGGCGGGAGGGAGGAAGGGCTGGCATGAGGGGGAACGAAGGGCCTGATGGAAAGGCGAAGCAGGCAATGCGGAGGCAGCACGAGAAGGTAGAAAGGGCAAAGACCTGAAGAGGGAGAGGGAAGAGTGGAGTGGCGGCTCACTCTATTGTGGCGAACTTGGGATGGGCGCCTGCTGCTATCAGCATGTCCTGAAAATCCTTCGCCCCCACACTCGCCCTCTTTCCTTCATCCGAAGCTCTAATAATCGTCAGAGCAGCCGTGGCTTCACCTCCTTGTACTGATACCCCTCCTGTCCCTTCGCATCCTTCTTCTGTTGGAGCTCCCTCCGCTGCCTCTGCTGGTGACGCTGAAGCTACTGCTATAAGATCGGTCCGGGTGAAGCACCCAGCCTCTGTGACTGCTGCATGCGCTTCTCTGTCGCCAGTGCATAAACCTAACGAATCTTCAACATTATTGCCACCACTGGCCCTATCTGCCAAATCTGCTGCACCTGCTGCAGCGTCCGCTGCACTGGCAACGTCTGCTGCACATGCTGCTTGTACTACATCACCTGCAGCTGCTGCCATAACAGCTCCATCTGCTAAACCTGCTGCACCTACAGCGTCCGCTGCACCTGAAACGTCTGCTGCACCCGTTACCTGTACAGTGTCAGCTGCATCATTTGCTTCTGAGCCCCCTTGCCCATCTCTTTCAGCTATTGGTGGCGATGATTGAGGTGATGATGGTAGTAATGGTGGTGGCTGGGGTAGCGGTGGTGATGGTGGTGAGAGTGATGGCTCTGTGGTCGGTGGCAGTGCTGCTGCTGGTGGTGGTGGTTCTGCTGCCGATGAGTCTTCTGCTGCTGCTGGTAGTGCTATCAGGGCGGGAAGTGACGGGGCAGTGAGCAATGGTGGCTGTGCTTGCTGGGTCTGAACAGCAGATGGGATTGTGAAGACGAACGTGAGGGCAGACTGTGCTGTCATTCTGCGAATCGCTTCTGACACCTTGCCCTCCTGCCAACCACAAAGCAACAAGTGCAAGAGAAGGACGAGAGTGAAGATCAGTAGATCAACAATGCACACCCATCAAGTCTCTCCGCAGCAGAAAAAATACAAACACTCACCACTCGTTCCAGCCCAGGCGGATACCCAAAGAACTCAGCCATGCAGGGTCGCCTCCTCGGCTTCCCCTCTTTATCCCTGTATAGGTCATGCAGTTTCCTCAGCCCCTCTTCTTGCTGTCTAACCATCACTGCTGCACCCGCGCCATCCGTCCTCCACCCACTCCGTGCCATTGACACAGCTGCATTCCCAGCAGCCACGCTTCCTGCTCCCCCTGCTGCTTTTTGGTTGACGTCAAGAGATGGTGGATCGGCGGCATCAGTGAGTGAGCGCATGGGGATGGGGGGCAGGCCAGCAGTGCGGGAGCGAGGCGGGCGGTGCTTGGAGAAGAGGGAGGGGATGTTGGAGGTGGGCGGGACAAACTGCCGCCGTGGGGATGGCAAGGTGGATGGAGAACGGTTCAGGGGAGTTAAGGGGCGGCGGAGAGTGGCGCCAACGCGGTGAAGAGGGGTGGGGGAAGTGTGGAGGGGGGCGTTGTGGAGCCGATTGGGAGAGGTGTGGAGGGGAGTATGAGAGGGGTGGAGAGGAGTGTTGGAGGGGTACGTAGGGGTGCGTGAGCGGTGCAAAGGAGAGGAGGGGTGGAGAGGAGGACAGGGGTGGAGGGGAGAGGCGGGGTGGAGAGGAGGGGAGGAACGAAGCTGAGGTGGTTGGGCGAGTGCGGGAGTGTGTGGGGAAGCAGCAGGTGACTGAAAGAGTGCATGTGTGGTGTTTAGTGCGGTGGAATGCTGTTTCGAAAGGTGCAACGGCTGTCTGGTCTGCATGGGTTGCATGGGTTGCATGGGCTGCATGGGAAGCATTAGCTGCTTGGGCTGCATGGGCTGCATGGGCTGGAGTAGCTGCATGGAATGCGTGGGTTGCGTGCGCTGCAATGGCTGTGTGGGATGCGTGGGTTGTGTGGGTTGTCTGTGCAGTGGTGATCCGGACAAGGAATCAACGGCGAGCGGTGGTAGCGAAGCTGGTGTTTGCGATGCATAATGTGACTGAGCTGAAAGGGTTCCTGGTGTGCTGAACTTTCCAGAAAGTTGTAGGAGTGGGGGCGGGGGTGATGCGTATGCAGAGGAAGAGGGTGTGGAGAAGGGGAGAGAGGAGGCGGCGCTGTGTGCGGGCGTGTGTGGATTGAATGGAGTACAAGGATAGGCTGACAGAGGCATGAGCGGGTGCCTACTGCCGTTGCCCTCCCGTTGCTTGTGAGCGTCATGAGGCTGGTGCTGCTGGCCCTCCCCACTCCCACCACCATCCCTGCCACTCCCCCCTGTCCCCAGGTCAAACAGGCTCGCAACCATTTCCTCTGCCCTGGCAAGAGCTGCCCGAGCCTCCACCGCAGGCTCGGCCACACCTTGTGATGAGGGCTGGGTGAGGGCGAGAGGCCAGGAAGGAGGGGAAGGGGGACGAAGAGCAGGTTCGGCTGCATCGTGAGCAGGCAGAGCGAGAGGAGGAGGCGGGGCAGCAGGATCAGGAGCAGGAAGGGCGAGGGGAGCATGTGGAGATGGTTCAATTGCTGCACATGGTTGGGGGGGACAGGGCAGTGCGGTGCTTCGAGAAGGTGTGATCCTAGGATCTTCAAACCGTGGCCTCTCATGCTGCTGCAAGCCCAGAAAAGCACACGCCTTGTCCACTGCAGCTGAAGACAGAACAACCGGCTTCTTCGAGGCGGTTTGAAACAGACCCGCTGTTCGGACAGTCGCTCCTCCCTTACTAGCACTACCTTCAACCTGCGGCCTATCGCGCTGCTGCACTCCGAAAAGAGCACACGCCTTGTCCACAGCAGCTGAAGAGATGTGCACCGGCTTCCTTGAAGCGGTTTGGAACAGACCCGCTGTTCGGACAGTCGTTCCTCCCAGACTAGCACTGCCTTCAAACCGTGGCCTCTCATGCTGCTGCGCCCCCAAAAGAGCACACGCCTGGTCCTCGGCGGCTGAAGATAACAAAACTGGCTTCTCTGAAGCTGTTTGAAGCAAAGCCATCCCGGCAGTAACTTCCCCCGGACTAGCTCCAGCACTTTGCTGCACCGCTCCCCTTTGTTCTGCTGCTCCTGCGCTCTCCAGGAGACGCACTGTTGGCTCACCACTGATCCTCCTTGGTACTTCTAACTTTGGAGGACCCTCATACTGCTGCACGCCCAGCAGGGCGCACGCTTTGTCCATGGAAGCTGAAGATATGTGCACCGGCTTGCCACGGGCTGTTTGAAACAAATCCTCCCCTCCAGTCGCTGCGCCTGAACTAGCTCCACCATCTGGCCGTGCCGCATTCGCCTGCTCTGCTCCTACGCCCTCCAGCAAAAGCGTTGCTGGTTCACTGCTGGTCCTTGGTGCTTCTAACTGTGGAGGAACCTCGTACTGCTGCACGCCCAGCAGAGCACATGCTTTGTCCATGGCAGCTGAAGATATGTGTACCGGCTTGCCCCGGGCTGTTTGGAACAAATCCTCCCCTACAATCGCTGCACCGTCATCAAGCCGCACTGCACTCGTCTGCTCTGCTCCTGCGCCCTGCAGCAAAGGCACGGCAGGGTCGCCACCACTGATCCTGGGTGCATCAAAGCTTGGTCTCTTACACTGCTGCACGCCCAGCAGAGCACACGCCTCGTCAACGGCAGCCGAAGACACAGAAACTGGCTTGCCTCGGCCTGTTTGGAACAAACCTGCCCTAACAGTCGCTCCCCCCCGACTAACCCCTTCTTCCAATCTAGCTCCGCCACCTGGCTGCGCCACTACTGCCAGCTCTGCTCCTGGGTTCCGCACTGAAAGCTCCATTCCTGCTGGCGCATGAGAGCTCTGCCTCTCACGCCCTTGCACGTCCAGCAGTGCTGGCGGCGCCTGCTGCACGCCCAGCAGCGTGCACGCCTTGTCCACAGCAGCTGAAGACAAAGAAACTGGCTTGCCGCGGCCTGTTTGGAACAAACCCGCCCTTACAGTCGCTCCCCCCCGACTAGCCCCTCTCATTTTAGCTCCACCATCTGGCTGCGCCACTACTGCCAGCTCTGCTCCTGGGTTCCGCACTGCAAGCTCCATTCCTGCTGGCGCATGAGAGCTTTGCCTCTCATGCCCTTGCGCGTCCAGCAGTGCTGGCGGCGCCTGCTGCACGCCCAGCAGCGCACACGCCTTGTCCACAGCAGCCGAAGACACAAAAACCGGCTTGCCTCGGGCAGTTTGAAACAAATCCGCCCCTACACTCGCATCCCCTGGTATAGCTCCCCCGAAATTCGCTCCATTATCTGGCTGCGCCACTACTGCCAGTTCGGCTCCTGGGTTCCGCACTGAAAGCTGCATTCCTGCTGGCGCATGAGAGCTCTGCCCCTCATGCGCTTGAGTGTCCGGCAGTGCTAGGGGACCGTGTATGGGTGGTGCAATTCTGGGTGCATCAAACCGTGCAGGCTCACACTGCTGCACGCCCAGCAGGGCACACGCTTTGTCAATAGCAGCTGAAGACAAAGGGACTGGCTTGCCCCGGGCTGTTTGGAACAAACTCCCTCCTGCAGTCGCTCCCAATAGGCTTGCTCCAGCATCTGGCTGCGCCACTACTGCCAGCTCTGCTGCTGAGCTCCGCACTGAAAGCTCCATTCCTGCTGGCGCATGAGAGCTCTGACCTTCGCGCCTATGAGAATTCAGCAGAGCTGGGGGCACGTGTGTAAGTGGCATGATTTGAGGTGCGTTGAACTGTGACCCCACGTGGCCTTGAGCGTTCAGCAGTGGAGGTGGTGTGACCTGACCGGCATCAAACCGCGGCCTTTGACACAGTTGCACGCCCAGCAAAGCGCACGCTTTATCTACAGCAGCTGCAGACAAACGCACCGGCTTCTTTGAAGCTGTTTGAAACAAGCCCGCCCCAACAGTCGATCCTTCTGTACTAACTCCTCCCAGATTCGCACTACCATCACCAAAACGTGGTCTGTCATGGTGTTGCACGCCCAGCAGAGCACACGCCTTGTCCACAGCAGCTGAAGACAAATGGACTGGCTTGCCCCGGGCTGTTTGGAACAAACTTGCTGCACCGGCAGGTGGTCGTGGTGGTGGTTGTTGCTGTGGCGGGATTAGTGACAGAGGAAATGGGTTCTGTGCGGTGGTTATGAGAGCTGAAGCGGTATGTGGTGGTTCTGATGGCAGTGACAACGGAGATGGGTTCGATGCGGTGGTGAGAGCTGCAGCTGTTGACTCATTTGCCATGCATCCTCGACTCCCCTGCTTCCCTTCTGCTCCTTGCATATCTTGTAGCCCTTGAATCCCCTGATGATCTTCCATCCCCTGCTGCCCCTGCTGTCCTTGCGGCGGCCCTTTCATCCCCTGCTGCTCCTGCTGCCATTCGCCATCCTCCCCAAACAGCTTCATCACGCCTGCAACCGCAGCAGCTGACACGTCTACCTTCCTGCCAGACGCACTCTGGAGGAGAAACCCCCCTGGCGCTGCATCGCCTGGTGCAGCAGACTGTAAGTTGTCAATCGCGGCTAATGGCTTGCGCTTTGATCCAGGAGCCATGGCATGCAGCGGTGGTATACCACCAGGACCATCAGCTCCAGCCTTGCGTTTCAGTCCTCGGGTCGCAATCACACCCATATGACCACCAGCGTTCTCTCCTCCCTCATCCAGCGTTTCAGATGCTCTTGAACCTGCTCGCACTTGTGGGTGCAGCTGATGCTCTGAATGAAGGGGAGGGCCCAAGTCTCGACTCCTTTGCACTCGCAGGGATGGCTGCAGGTGGCGCTGCTGTGTTGAGGTTTTCCTGGTTGGGTTGCTCATGCTCTTGTGAAGAAGACGATTCACCTTGTGGCCCTTTTCAACCTGAAAACATCCAGGAGTGGAAAGGTGAGAGGACACGGCAATTTAATGCCTAGTTGGTCTCCACCGGAAGAATACCAGATGATCAATGCTACACATGGAAGGCGCAAAATTCGAGCAAGCATGGCATTGCATTGCGTGTAAATCCGCGTTACCAGATTGGCATGGCCAAGCGAAGGAAGTGTGGCGGCTTGGCCTCCACCAGCAAGGCCTCTTGCAGCGCGAGGCTTCTTGAACTTTGGCGCCATGAAGACACGTGAGGCGGAAGCTCTGTGGTGTTTCTGGATCGAGGAAAGCAGATAAGGAAACAACAAGTGAGGCAAGGAGTCAGGAAAAGAAGGGCAGAGGTTGAGTTGGCAAGGTGTGTAAGGCACACGAACGAATCACGATGCTTCGAAATGGAGAGACCGAAAAAATAGGGGCAAGGGTTAAGAGTTCTGACTCACATTTTGAGGTTGAGTGGGTTGAAGGAGCTCGTCCAGAATGTCCAGACTTCCTTCCCTTGCGCTGCAACCACTCTTTGCTTTGAACATAATCGATTTACCAGTGATCGATGCAATGCCTGGAGAGCAATGTGCTCCGTCCTGTGTGTTTGCTGCTGAGTTCCTCTGGCTGCTGTCAAGCCACAGACAGGAAGGCCGTGGATCTGTCGCGTCAGCTACAGCTGTTGCGCCAGAAGCAGCTGTAAGGCCAGCAAAAGCTGTAGCGCCAGCAACAGCTGTAGCGCCAGCAACAGCTGTAGCACCAGCAGCAGCTGTAGCGCCAGCAGCAGCTGTTGCGCCAGCAGCACCCGTGAGGCCAACGGCAACTGTCGCGCCAGCAACAGCCATGAGGCCAATAGCTGCTGTAGCACCGGAAGCATCTGTAGCGGCGCCACCACCAGCAATAGCGCCAGAAGAAGCTGTAACGCCAGCAGCAGCTGCTGTGTTCTGCGCTCTACATGGCATCTCCAAATCTCCTGCATCAGGATGCTGAATGGGCTGGTAGGCCTCTGCTTCGTTATAGAGTTGTGTTTCCTTGCACGGTTGTGTTTCCTTGGACGGTAGCGCTTTCTTGGACAATTGTTTGTTGGACGGCTGCGCTATTTTGGGTAATTGTGCGTCCCTTGACAGTTGTGCTGGCTCGGACGGCGGCACTGCTGACTTGAGAAGTTCTGCTGGTTCAGGCCCTCGCTGCAAGCATGCTCCTGGTTCAGGCCCTCGCTGCAAGCATGCTCCAGAGGGGTCAGCCCCTCGCTCTGAACATGCTGGTGGATGGTCTTCCCGAGACTTCATTGCTGCCTCTGACCCTTCTGCAACTAAAGCGGTTGCACTTGAACACACAACGCCGCTTCCAGGCAGGGCAGGACTGGCCATAACGCATGGTGGTGAGACGGCGGACGGTGGTGAGATGCGTCCTGCGCCTGCACCATCTGAGTCCGCCTGAACCGGAATATTTGGGCATTTCATTCGAGACTCGTCAGCGACGGTATCAAGCGAGTTGATCTGCTTTCTGACGACCCCTGGCGATGCGCCTGACTTTTCCGCTGCTGTTTCCCTCTCCACAAGTGGTTCGTGGGGTCCGTGATCTTGCCTTTGACATGCTCCCGCAGCAGGATGGAGGGAAGCACGCGTTCCTGGTGAAGAAAATAATGTCAGTGGGTAAAGATATTGAGACGTCTCAAAGCATGCACACATTCCTGCTGAGAAGGTCAGCATTGCGTGGATCAATAGCATCAGGAGAACGGAGAGAGCGGATTTATGCGAGCTGAAGGATGCGTGATATGCTAGCCCTTGGTGAACGGATTCGCCCAACGAGTGAGTTGACGAAGTGCTGATTATGCTGCAGAAAATTTATGCAAGCGAATTGAGACGTACGCTGCAAAAAATCGCGAAGCTCGCTGCTTTCCTCGGCCGCGTCGTCGAGAGTGTTTAACGCGGAAAGAAGGGATCCTGCATAGCTTTTCGAGGTTTCACAACCATGTTGCCGACCAGCATCAATGGTCCGGCCTCCCTCAACAAGAGACAAATCGCCACTTCTTCGATCAACTACCAATGAAAACGAATGCACGGGACAACCGATCTCATCCATGGTAAGAAAGTAGTTAACTTCACTCTTTCGGCTGAAGCGTCAGAGATACGCGTACTTCATAGTTCTGGCAGATCGAAGAGAAACATCATTGTAGGTATCCTAAATGTATCTCAAAAGTCACCTTTGGGGACTTCCGAAGGACTCCTATGGTTTGTCCGATGATCAGCGTCAGCGTCACGCCCTTGGCGGTAGTTTCAAGGGCGGGAAGAAGTGTATTTTCAAGGTGGTTCGAAATTGTCATTCTAACGAGCGGAGAAGCACATAATCAAAAGTACAATGGACTTGAAGACATCTACCGCATTGCACCGAGCCTAACGATCGACTGAAGGGAATCCAAAAGGTTCAGGCTGACTCAAACCGTTGGATGTATATGGAAGTTATCGAGCGGCTGAGCATGCGTCACTCTAACCTCATAGACGAAAACAATACTCTGGAAGTATCCGTAACTGGTTACCCTGACTCTCGTTGCGTATCCTCATAAAAACATAACCATGCTGAACCGAGCGGATCGTGCACCAAACCAGGTTGCACCAAGACGTACCCCCTTTTCATATCGAAGTAAAAAATGTTAAATTTGGCCAATCAGCTTCGTCCACGCCCCCACACTCCCAGGAACCACCATCATCACTTCTGGGCTTCGGCATGTGGACCAAGTCTACATAAAAGATACAAACAGGCGAGCATATGTGGTTATGCGACCCAGACTATGGCGTCGCAAGATATTTTTCTGTTCTAGTGATCAACTGCCTCAGTAGCCACATCTGCAGCAATAAGCCGTGTACCTCCTGCATTTAGCCGCCATGGCTAATTCATGTTTCGCTATATCAAGCTGCAGACCGGCGCTGTTGGGAAGCCCGTTGAGTCAACGATTTGAGTCGTCCAACTTGCGAACACATCATGAGAGTAGTTGTTTAATCCGTCGACCAGCTCGGCTAGCGCAAAGAGTAAGCATATCGGCGTAATGTTCTTGCTTCAAAAAGTGAAGATAGTTAGTCGGTAAATGATTCCTTCTGAGCATCTCTTTTTACTTTAACGAAGTCTGCTCCTCAGTCGATTGTCTAAAGGTTCCCTAATTCGCAAATGTCTTTGATGTGGCCCTGTCAGCGACCGATTGTTCGCGCAATCAGCGCAGCGGATAACGGCGCCGCGGCAGCTGAGGAAATGCGCCTTGCGAGGGGATCAGCGCGACTGGAGGGAGCACCTCGCGGGGCGAAGCAGGTGTTGCTGGTGGATCCGGTCGAGGCGAAACGGATAGCGCAAGAGGACCTCAAGAAGCGTGCCAAGGCCGCGTCGCAACAGGCAAGCGTTTGTGTTAAAAGAATAGTTGTACATATAAATGGTGCGGAGCTGTTAGGGCGAGATGATTCTAAGATTGCAAAAGCGGTGTCCACTTGGAATTAGGAATAAGAGTTTAGGTACAGTGTTTAGATTCGGAACTGCAGAAGAAACCTTTCTTTGGAGTAGCGCCTGCCTCAGGTCACCAGCGACCGCCGTGTGAGCAGGTGTGGGTTGGGCTGACATTGACCTGGCCGTAGGCTCATATTCAACTGTACTTGTCTTCCGTCATTCCCTTCCTGCAGAAGTGGCGGGAGATTGAGGCTATCAATGGTGCATGGGCCGTCATTGGCATCTTTGCTGCCTTGGTGGGAGAGGGCTTCACTCAGACTGGCATTCTTGGGCAGGTATGAGTGCTGGACATGCCAAGCATTTGCTGTGGGTTTCCTCTCTTAGGGCATGATTATTATTATTAAAAAAACGTGGGTGGAACAGTGTTAAAGGCCTGACTTAGGAGGAATGGTATGTATAAAGCATCTGGTCTGGTGTGGCCCAGTCACAGGAAGCAAGTGCCAGCCGTTTCTCCCTATCTACCTGTTCTTTTCCCAACAGTGTGCAATCTACCTGGAGCTTGTTGCCGGTGCAATTGAGTCTCTTGCAAGATTTTTGGGAGAGCCTTAAGCTACAGCATCAAGGAGCATGCTGCATGGGACAGCGCACAACAAACGCAGTGGTGGTGTGGTTGTGTATGTGTCTTGCTTTTTGCATCTCACATTGTTGTGATGCTAGTGTGGTGGTGTTCTCGTTATGATGTGGTCTTCATGGTTCTGGCTTTTACCAGCCATCTCTTGTACAGAACTGCCAAGCCCCTTCGCCAAATTATGATGATCATCGTGAGGTTACGAGCTGTAGTCTTGTGGAACCATAGCATGGCTTGAATCTTGCAAGTTGAATCAAATGAAATTTGAAACGAACATTTTGTAAGCTTTTCTATGTGACTACACAACGAGGGATTTATGTACCGTGTTTCCTTGCCATTACAGGTGCAGCTTACAAGCTCAGTGATTTGCTGGTCCAGCCAATCAAAATCTCACGTTTCCATTTCCACAACCAGGGTGCTTGTGAAGCACGCAATCCGTGCTGGCGCCAGTCAGGAAGAGCCACGTGTGTCGCAGGCTATGTGGCCGCTCCAGGTTGAGCGTCGATCCCAGAATAACAGCTAGGCTGGTTAATAGAGAATCTGGCTCGGTCGAATGCGGCAGCGCTTACACGAAGTTCCCAAAGGAACTTGCCCTCTTGGATGGGTGAAAATTGAAATCGGATTTGCCTTTTGGAGCTGAAATTCCATTCCATTTCAACAGGCCGATTGAGAATTCCAATCTGGAGCTTGAATCTGCTCGCCTACTCTAGCACGGTTTTCGCACAACTTGTCATTTCCGCGATTCATTGAGTCAGTCCGATAAGGATCCATTACGATTTTCACGCGACTTCTTGCGTAGGAGCACGGAGCCATGGCTGCATTGCATGCGGTGTCGCATGTTAGCGGCGGGCTGTCGTCAGTGACCCGTGCTTCTTCTCGCGTCCTGTCAGCTCAACGGAACTCGTCGTTTGAGTCGTCCCAAGCGGCTTACCCTGCCGACAGCTGTCGTCTGCGAGGCAATTTTCTTCAGAATGGCTGTTTGCGGGCTGCCACGTGGCAAGCAGGCATTGGTGGCCAGGGACTGTCACAATCGCTGGTCCTTCGACGGGATAGCCAGCCGTCGAGACAAAGCCGTGTTTCAGTGACTGGTGAGAGCGTATAACAAACTAACATTTCCCCGCCTGATCATTCTTAGTTCCAACCAAGTGTGGGTTTCGCGTGCTTTTCTCCGTTTTCCTTTCACCGTTCCACAAACCCCCCTCCGTTTCCCCTATCCTTTCTCCCATTGCGCCCATCCGCTCAACAGCATCCGCGACATCGGGGTTTGACGAGATGGTGGCGGGGAGGACGCGCAAGTACTACATGGTGGGGGGGAAGGGCGGCGTGGGGAAGACGAGCGTGTCTGCGGCTCTGGCAGTGAAGTTCGCCAACGAAGGCCATCGCACTCTGGTGGTTTCCACCGACCCCGCACACTCCCTCAGCGACTCCTTCGCTCAGGTGACTCCTTCAGGTGCCTGTCAGGTACGTGCTTTCGGGATAGGATGGAAGAACAGAGCGTGTCCGCCGCTTTGGCAGTGAAATTTGCCAACGAGGGCCATCGTACTCTGGTGGTTTCCACCGACCCTGCACACTCCCTCAGCGACTCCTTCGCTCAGGTGACTCCTTCAGGTGCCTGTCAGGTACGTGCTTTCGGGATAGGATGGAAGAACAGAGCGTGTCCGCCGCTTTGGCAGTGAAATTTGCCAACGAGGGCCATCGTACTCTGGTGGTTTCCACCGACCCTGCACACTCCCTCAGCGACTCCTTCGCTCAGGTGACTCCTTCAGGTGCCTGTCAGGTACGTGCTTTCGGGATAGGATGGAAGAACAGAGCGTGTCCGCCGCTTTGGCAGTGAAATTTGCCAACGAGGGCCATCGTACTCTGGTGGTTTCCACCGACCCTGCACACTCCCTCAGCGACTCCTTCGCTCAGGTGACTCCTTCAGGTGCCTGTCAGGTACGTGCTTTCGGGATAGGATGGAAGAACAGAGCGTGTCCGCCGCTTTGGCAGTGAAATTTGCCAACGAGGGCCATCGTACTCTGGTGGTTTCCACCGACCCTGCACACTCCCTCAGCGACTCCTTCGCTCAGGTGACTCCTTCAGGTGCCTGTCAGGTACGTGCTTTCGGGATAGGATGGAAGAACAGAGCGTGTCCGCCGCTTTGGCAGTGAAATTTGCCAACGAGGGCCATCGTACTCTGGTGGTTTCCACCGACCCTGCACACTCCCTCAGCGACTCCTTCGCTCAGGTGAGACTCAGTGCCCGTCGTTAGTCGTTCTTTCAGAGGTCTCAGAGATTGCTCCTGGTGGTTTCCACCGACCCCGCGCAGTCCTTCAGCGACTCCTTCGCCCAGGTGACTCTCAGGTGCCTGTCAGGTGGGACTCAGGTGCCTCTGTTCGCTGACTCTCATTGTTCCCAACCCGCCCGTCCTGCCTCTCCGCTCCCCCTCTTCCCACCCCCGTGCTTTACCATACCAGGACGTGTCAGGAGGGAAGCCTGTGGCTGTGGAGGGAACCTACCCCTCTGTTGGCTGACCTGCTGTTGTCCCTAAACCTGACCTTTCCCCATCTCCCCCTCCCTCGTGCTTTACCGTACCAGGACGTGTCTGGATGGAAGCCTGTGGCCAAGGGAATTTACCTGCCTCATTTCTCTTGTCGCCCGCCTACCCCCACCCTCGTGCTTTACCATACCAGGACGTGTCAGGAGGGAAGCCTGTGGCTGTGGAGGGAACTGACTTGCCTCTGTTCGCCATGGAGGTGAGTATAGTGAAGGGTGTGATTGTACCGGGAGGAACTGGGGAAGGAGATGTGTTGAACAGCTGGGAGCAAGTGTAAGTTGTGCATCCACTGTTCCCCTGCGGTATGTGTCTGACCATGACACTTGGTCCATCGACCTGACACCAGCAAGTTCCATTCTGTATCTGACTCTCTACTGAATCTCTGAATCCGACCCGTTTGGTTCTGTGTGGAAACAGATCGACCCAGAGCAGGCGCGGGAGGAGTTCCGGTCAGCAACAGGCAAGGACGGCGGCAAGGGCGTGAAGGACTTTATGGACTCCATGGGGCTGGGCGGCTGGATTGACCAGGTTGGTGCCACGAACGCCTTGCACCTTATAACGAGGATAACAGTGTGATGGGGGACTATGGCGACTTGGGTTGCGGCAAGGGCGTGAAGGACTTTATGGACTCCATGGGGCTGGGCGGCTGGATTGACCAGGTTGGTGCTCCAACTCTAGGTGCCTAGTAACGAGAATAAGCGTATCATGCGTTGGGGCAAGGACCGCGGCAAGGGCGTGAAGGACTTTATGGATTCCATGGGGCTGGGCGGCTTGATTGACCAGGTCCGTGCTGTGAATGCCACCACGAGGTTTTGAGGCACCTTATAACGAGGATAGTCGTGTGATGGTGAGTAAGGTGACTTGGGTTGAGGCAAGGGCGTGAAGGACTTTATGGACTCCATGGGGCTGGGCGGCTGGATTGACCAGGTGCGTGTATCCCTTATTGCAACGACCACACCTACCATAGCACTCAGTATCTGCAGCATCTTCCCTCCTCCTTCACACTCCCCTCCCTTTCCCCTCTACCCGTGGCCCCCTTCCGCTTCCCCCTCCTTTCCGCTTCCTCTCTTTCTCCGTTTCCCGCTCCCCCTGCCTCTCCTACCGTTCTGGTTCACAGCTGAGTGAGCTCAAGTTGGGCGAGCTTCTAGACACGCCACCACCTGGGCTGGACGAGGCAGTTGCCATTGCCAAGGTGCGTTGGGCTGGAGGGGGAAAGGTGGTGTGGGTGCCAAGGGAGGCAACCAGGGAGGGGGGTGGTGTTGGAAGGAAGCTGGGATAGCTGCTAGGCACGCCACCACCCAAGCTGGACGAGGCAGTTCATGCAATCACCATAGTACAGCAACTTCACGCGCATCATCTGCACGTGCATCATCTGCTCTTCTCTTCGTACTTCCTCTCACCTCCTCTCTCACCTTCTCTGACCTCCTCGCACCTCTCCCCACCACTCTCTCCTCCCCCAGGTGGTGCAGTTCATGCAATCACCAGAGTACAGCAACTTCACGCGCATCATCTTCGACACTGCTCCCACGGTGGGTCATCTTTTAGGTGCCTCGAAACTCTCGACTTAATGCACACACAAAGCGCACCTCAATGCACCCCGGCACAGCAACTTCACTCGCATCATCTTCGACACTGCACCCACGGTGGGTCACCATTTAGGCGCCTCAAACTCAACCTAGTGCACACGGATTCCATACAGAGAGAATTCTGAGGCGCCACAGAGCTCACCTCAAAGCTCCCCGAGTACAGCAACTTCACACACAATGTTTGAGCAGTGTCAAAGATGATGAGAGTGAGTGAGTGAGTCAACTTCACTCACTCACACGAATCATCTTTGACACTGCTCCCACGGTGGGTCATCTGCACTGCATGCTCATGTGCATCCGCTCCCTCATCCTCACCCTCTTCGTGCGTGTGAAATTTCAAACCCCGCCCCGTCCAACCTGTACTACTCACTGTTGATGTAACTCACTTCTAATGTACTTCCTTTCTTTAAGCGATTGCATCTTGTTAGGTGACTGTGTCTTTGAAGCTGCTCTTTTTTTCCCTTTATTCATGCCTATTTTCTCTCTCCATATCTCCCCTTTCTGACATCTCATTGCCAGGGGCACACGCTTCGGCTTCTCTCCCTCCCCGATTTCCTGGATGCTTCCATCGGGAAAATCCTCACCGTGAGTGCCCTATGAAATTTTACATACAAGCATGGCTCCTTCACTCGTGACATGGATACTCCTCCTTCACGTTATTTCACGGTTGTCCAAACGATGATACTCATGAAAGGAGCACTTTGAGACCAGCCAACAGATGGTCCTTGTGAGCGATTTTTTTATATTCTCAAATGGCTGTGTTGTGTTGTTCACAACAGATGGCGCTCCTCCTCATGTTGTGTTGTTCCCCTCCCTGCCCGCAGCTCAAGCTCGTGATCAGCTCTGCCACGTCAGCACTCAAGTCAAGTCGTGTTTTGACCCCCACTAACTACCCTCATGTTGTACTGCTCTCCTCCGTACCTGCAGCTCAAGAACAAGATCAGCTCTGCCACGTCAGCAGTCAAGTCTCTCTTTGGCCAGGAGGACGGCAAACCTGACACGGCAGTGAGTGAGGAGGGGTGGGGAGAGGCGGGAGGAGCTGGGGAAAGGTGGGGACAGGTGAGAGGAGGTTGAAAGGAGTTGGGGACAGGTGAGAGGAGGTGGGAAGAGGTTGAAGGAGGTGAAAAAGACTAGTGCTGAGTCAGCTTAATTGTAACCTCTGACTGAGACGCTGTACCATATTTCTACCTGACTGTTTTTGCATGTGACTATTTCGAATGTGACTGTAGGTGGAGAAGCTGGAGCAGCTGAAGGAGCGGATGGTGATGGTGAGGGAGATATTCCGCGACCAGAAGGCCACGGAGTTCATTATAGTCACAATCCCTACAATCATGGCTATTAACGAGAGCGCCCGCCTGCTGAAATCGCTGGAGGTGGAGGGAGTGCCGGTGAAGCGGCTTATAGTGAATCAGGTCCTGCCCAAGTCCAACACCGACTGCAAATTCTGCAATATCAAGCGGAAGGTACACTTACTGTGGAATATCAAACAAAAAGTATTCCCAAATTATGAGTTGACTCACAAGTAGAAAGTGAAACGGCTTATAATGAATCAGATCCTGCCCAAGTCCAACACTGACTGCAAATTTCGCAATATCAAACGGAAGGTACACGTGTTGTGCAACATTAACTGCCCGTTTTGGTGAGTGATGTTTCAAGACATTTCAAAAGATGGCTCACAAGTTAACACCTAGTGCAAGGTTAACACCTGCTCTTCACTCGCCTGTCCTTGTATTTATTTCACACTCTTTCCTCACTTCATCTCTTCGTCCTCTACCTTGCTATGTTTCCTACCCTGCTGTCTTCTTCTTTTGGTTTTTTTCCTGTTATCATTTCCAGCTAATTCGCTACCCCCCTTGCATCCCACGCCCCCTCTCCTCCCCCCTCACCTTTCCACCACAGGAGCAGCAGAGGGCATTGGACATTGTGGAGGCAGCCAAGAGCTGAGCCACCTGACGGTGATTCAATCGCCTCCTCCTTGCTGTTGCCCCATGCCTCCCTCACACCTCCTCATCCCCTCTCACTCCCCCTTACCTCCTCACCTCATCACCACAGGACCAGCAGAGGGCATTAGACATTGTGGAGGCAGACAAGGAGCTGAGCCACCTGACGGTAATTTAATCGCTTCCTCCTTACCTTGCCTCGCTCACACCTCCCCTCATCAACCCCCACCTGCCCTATACTTGTTCACCACAGGACCAGCAAAGGGCATTAGACATTGTGGAGGCAGATAAGGAGCTGAGTCATTTGAGGGTGATTCAGTCGCCGCTCTTTGACCTTGAGATCCGCGGCGTGCCGGCTCTCAAGTTCATGGGGGACCTGGTCTGGCGGTAGTGTCTAGTTTGGTGATAGTCTGGCCTCTTGATATAAGGGTGAATCACCCTTATGACCCTTACTATAAGGGTGTGTTTTGATTTGGACCCTTACTTTACAAAGTGGATTGTGTTCTAACACTTACAGGAAAAAGTGAATTTGTTTAGGACCCTGATATTTCAGAGTGAAGTGGTGTAGTCGCACTGATCGGGAACATACATCCTCCTCAAAAAGTAGAGAAATAGCTCGAAGAACAGAGCCCCATGGATACCATTGCTCACTAAATGCCTCCGGCAAGTATCAATCTCGCGTCTCTTTCACAACAAGACCCACTGTGCCAAGTCGCCACGCCAATAAATCACTAGTTATATTTTATAGAACGTCCTAACTTGGTTTGAACCCTTACAAAAAAGAGTGGTGCTTGCTTGATACCCTTACAGATGTTGGAAACAATAAATTGTAAACGCCTCTGTCGTGTCGAAACACCACACCAGAAGCGAAGCACGCCACATCGAAGCACCCGCGAGTCAACCCTCGGAGGTTAAAAGAGGTTGCTGGAGGTTACGCGAAAGTCAAAGGTCAAGCGACCTTTGACCTGACAAGTGCAGCGCGACAGCAAGGACACACAACTGACTCGTTACAGAGCAGTTGCCCGAGTCGTCACTGTATCGAACCGCAACAGCAAAAGTAGTTACAACTATATCCTTTCGTATTCCTTGTAATCTTCTATATATTCTTGTATCCCTTTGCTATAATCAACTTACTTTGCCCTCACATACCAGCGCAAGGTGGTTCACAAAATTCTCCACTAATACGCTTCCGCTATTACATAGTCCTACCGGAGTTTTACCCCCGCAAAGATCCTAAGGGCTTTTCTCAGCCCAACATGGTATGAGAGCTAACAGGGGAAACTCCACTACTATCAAGTCATTACAAGACATGGCAACAAACAAGGAAAGGAGCTCCTCCAACGGCTCCCCGGGCACTACTCCTACTCCACCTCCTGCCTCTGGCCTGCAGACAGAGGAGGGCACTGCAACAAGACCTAGAGGAACATCTACTGAAACTCCCGTAAATCACCCCGCCAGCTTCGACCAAAACATGATGGAGAAGTTCTTCTCCTTCATGTCCTTCTACGAGCAGCACCAGCAGTCGGGACCTGCACAGTCATACAACAGCAACAACAACAACAGGGCAACACTGTTAAATTGTAATGTGTTATATGTTGGTAGGCTGTAGTGGGGTAGCCAATATGGGGTACAACCCCAACTAGGGTTTCATATTTGTACCCAAACTTCTGCTAGTTCATTCATTCTTGCCTAGTTATTCTGAAATGGTATTCAGAGCAGGAGGTCCCTAGGACCTACCGACCGTTTTTTTTTTTAAGGGCCCACCACCGCTCGCATGCGGTTACCACGCTACCCCGTGCCCTAGCCTCGTAGCGCCCTCGTGCGCCCTCGTTAGCGCCCTCGCGCGCCCCTCGTTAGCGCCCTCGCGCGCCCCTCGTTAGCGCCCTCGCGCACCCTCGTTAGCGCCCTCGCGCGCCCCTCATTAGCGCCCTCGCGCGCCCCTTGCTAGCGCCCTCGCGCGCCCCTCGCTAGCGCCCTCGCGCGCCCCTCGCAGCGTCGCCCGCCCGCCGAGCCGCCCGCTCGCAGCGTCGCCCGTCCGCCACGCTGCCCGCTCGCCCCTCGCCCGCCGCGCTGCCTGCTCGCAGCGTCGCCCGCTCGCCCCGCTGCCCGCTTCGCAGCCCGCTCGCCCCGCTGCCCGCTTCGCAGCCCGCCCGCCCGCTCGCTGCCCGCTTCGCGGCCCGCCCGCTTCGCTGCCCGCTCGCAGCGCCGCCCGCCCGCCCGCTACCTGCTTCGCAGCGTCGCCCGCCCGCTTGCTGCCCGCTCGCAGCGTCGCCCGCCCGCCCGCTGCCCGCTTCGCAGCGTCGCCCGCTCGCTCGCTGCCCGCTCGCAGCGTCGCCCGCCCGCCCGCTGCCCGCTTGCAGCGTCGCCCGCCCGCCCGCTGCCCGCTTGCAGCGTCGCCCGCCCGCCCGCTGCCCGCTTGCAGCGTCGCCCGCCCGCCCGCCGCACTTCCCGCCTGCAGCGCTGCCCGCCTCGCCTGCTGCTCCCTGCCTGTGCACCGCCGCTTGCTCCTGCTGTGGCTGCTAGCTTCGCTCTAGCGCGTCCCCTCTGCTGCTGCCGCTGCTCTGCTGTGCCCTCACGCCTGAGCTATGGCCTCTATTCGCGTTCTTTCCTTCGATGCTGAGGGCCGTCCCGTGCAGTTCACTTCCTGGCTCGACGACCTGCAGTTGTATCTTATGAGCAATAGCACGGACCACATCTCCCTCTATGACTACGCGTCTGGTGCTGCCGCTGCTCCTGCTGCCACAGCCGAGCTTAGTGTACGTTCACAGTGGCAGACTCGTGACGCTGCAGCTCGCCTGGCTATTCGCAGTCACCTGCCGTTACCTGAGCTAGAGCACTTTGGCGACTGCAAAACCGCTAAAGCCCTATACGACGCTGTCGTTGCTCGCTACTCCTCACCTGCCACAGCCGAGCTTAGCCGTCTCATGCTGCCTTACCTGTTCCCTGACCTGTCCACCTTTGCTACAGTCGCCGATCTTATCACCCACCTTCGCACTAGTGATGCTCGCCTGCGTGCCGCCCTTCCCACCGAGTTCTGCGCTAAGAACCCCCCTCCCCTGTACTGGGCACTCCACTTCATAGTCACCCGTCTCCCTGACACCCTCAGCTCAGTGCGCGACTATTTCCTTGCTCGCTGTCCCACTGAGCTCACTGTCGCCCTCCTAGAGGAGAAGCTGCTAGCAGCCGAGAAGAGCATTGTAGCTGTAGGTGCTGCTCGCGGCGCTCCTCGCACCCCCATCTTTGAGGGATGCTCTCCCTCTCCCCTCGCTCCCTCCTATGCTACTGCTGCTGCTGTTGACTTCCTTGGTGCTGAGACTGCTGGCGCTGCTTCTGCTCCTGGTGGGAGGCGCCGCACCGGCAAGGGCAAGGGGGGCAAGGGTGGCGGGGGTGGCGCTGGGGGGGGAGGGGGTGGGGGAGGTGGGGGGGGAGGCGGTGCTGGAGGGAGCGGTGGCGGGAGTGCCGGTGGGAGTGGGGCCGGCGGCGGAGGCGGGGGCGGCGGCGGGAGCAGTGGCGGTGGTGGCAGCGGCGGCAGTGGCGGCGGTGGCGGTAGTGGCGGTGGCGGTGGCGGTGGTGGCGGTCGGAGCGGAGGTAGTGGCGGCGGTGGAGGTCGGAGTGGAGGCACTGGCTCGGGCCAGAGCTCCCAGCAGCAGCAGCGTCCCCAGTCGACCCAGCAGCTTCGTGAGTGGCTTGCTCAGCGTGGGACGTCGGGGGGCAGTGGCCGCTGTTCCTATGTCATTCGCACAGGTGATCGCAAGGGGCAGACGTGTGGAAAGTTCCACACTCAGTACCGCTGCTTCTTCCGCCTTGACGACGCTTGGCGTGAGGAGATGGGCGAGGATGTTGAGCGCCCTCGCTGGGCTGAGCTGATGAGGGCTGGGGTTGATATCTTTGCTCTTGACTATGATGCTATTATTGCTGCCATGTATGCATTGACTGTTAGTGCCGAGGGAGACTGTTACTTGTGTGTGCCGCCTGACCCAGGTATAGGGCCCGCTGCCCTAGGTACTAGTGAGTCTGCTCTCTCTGGTATGGTGCCCCCTGTACCTGCTCCCTCCAGCACTGTCCCTGCTGCTTGCGAGTCTGCTCTCTCAGGTACAGCACTCACAGAGACTGCTCTCTCAGGTACTGCACCGGCTGAGACCTGTCACACCTTCACCCTTGACTCAGGTGCTTCCCGCTGCTTCTTTCGAGACAGTACTGAGCTCACACCGCTTCCTGCACCGGTCCCAGTCTCCTTGGCTGACCCCTCTGGGGGCCCGGTCCTTGCCCGGTCCACCACTGTGCTCCCTTGTCCGGCGGTTCCGTCTGGCTCGTTGACGGGTTTCCACCTCCCCTCGTTCTCGACGAACCTGGTGAGCAACGCTGTCATCCAGGATCAGTGGGTTGACACCTTTACCCCTGGAGGGCAGCGTGTGGCGATCTGCACGTGCTCCAGGACCGGCCGTCACCTGGCTACGTTTACTCGTCGGCCGGGGTCGAGTCTCTACACACTGACCACTGCGTCTCCTCAGGTCGCTGCTGTCGGTCAGGTGTCCGCGTCAGGTCTGGTAGCCCACGCCTGTGAGTGTCGTTCCCTGTCGCACCAGACTCTTCTCTGGCACCACCGCCTGGGTCACCCCTCCTTGCCACGCCTCCGTGGCATGCACCGTCGCCACCTTGTGTCTGGTCTTCCCAGGTCCCTCCCTCCCCTCCCTGCCTCGCCTGCGCCGCCTTGCCTTCCTTGCGTCGAGGGGCGGCAGCGCGCCGCTCCTCACTCCTCCTCGTTCCCCCCGACAGAGGCTCCTCTGCAGACCCTCCACCTGGACGTGTGGGGCCCAGCCCGCGTTCGTGGTCAGGGCGGTGAGCGGTACTTTTTGCTGGTTGTCGACGACTACTCGCGTTACACCACGGTCTTCCCCTTGCGCACCAAGGGTGAGGTCCCTGCTGTTCTGATCCCTTGGATCCGCACAGTTCGTCTCCAGCTCCGCCGCCGTTTCCGGACGGATCTTCCTGTCCTGCGTCTGCACTCTGACAGGGGTGGTGAGTTTTCCTCCGACCTCTTGAGGACCTTCTGTCAGGCGGAGGGCATCGAGCAGACCTTCACGCTTCCGGACTCCCCACAGCAGAATGGGGTTGCTGAGCGCCGCATTGGCCTGGTCATGGAGGTCGCTCGTACCTCCTTGGTCCACGCGGCGGCTCCCCATTTTCTGTGGCCGTTTGCTGTCCGGTACGCCGCGCATCAGCTCAACCTCTGGCCCCGTGTCTCCTTGCCGGAGACCTCGCCCACACTGCGTTGGACGGGGGAGGTTGGCGATGCGTCGCGCTTCCGGGTGTGGGGTGCTCGTGCCCTTGTCCGCGATACGTCCGCGGACAAGCTCTCCTCCCGCACGCTTCCCTGTGTCTTCCTTGGCT